AGGACGACTGCACCGTATTGAGGGGAGGATGGATGGGGCCATGTATCGCGAGATCTTGGCCAACAACCTCCTTCCCTCAGTAAGAGCATTGAATATGGGTCGTGGCTGGGTCTTCCAGCATGACAACGACCCGAAACACACAGCCAGGGCAACTAAGGAGTGGCTCTGTAAGAAGCATCTCAAGGTCCTGGAGTGGCCTAGCCAGTCTCCAGACCTGAACCCAATAGAAAATCTTTGGAGGGAGCTGAAAGTCCGTATTGCCCAGCGACAGCCCCGAAACCTGAAGGATCTGGAGAAGGTCTGTATGGAGGAATGGGCCAAAATCCCTGCTGCAGTGTGTGCAAACCTGGTCAAGACCTACAGGAAACATATGATCTCTGTAATTGCAAACAAAGGTTTCTGTACCAAATATTAAGTTCTGCTTTTCTGATGTATCAAATACTTATGTCATGCAATAAAATGCAAATTAATTACTTAAAAATCATACAATGTGATTTTCTGGATTTTTGTTTTAGATTCCGTCTCTCACAGTTGAAGTGTACCTATGATAAAAATTACAGACCTCTACGTGCTTTGTAAGTAGGAAAACCTGCAAAATTGGCAGTGTATCAAATACTTGTTCTCCCCACTGTATATACCTTGTAAGCATTTATCTGTCATGTGTGAATGTTGCTTTTATGCTGCACAAAATGTATAACACAAAAATCTATTTTAATTTAAGAGCCGTGCTATACAAAATAAACACAAGTCACAAATCAATTTTCATTTAAAAGCCTTACTGATTATGGTCAACTGTTAGTGTCTCTCTTGGTTTTAAAAGGTGAAGACCTGAGTCTGCGCCCTGATGTTCAGTGAATGTATTTCTTTACCTCTCTTACATGTGCGCTCTTTGTAAATGTCTTGGAGAGCCTTTTGTTTTCTCCCTACAATCTTACCACAACTCTCTCTAGGGAGACAAACCAGACAACTACACTAAATGTTAAGACAGGCTCAATAGAACATCTGTAAAACGATTGTAAAACAGAATGATTAACACTCAGCCTTCTAAATTTGCGCAGGAAGTATAATCTGGATTGACATTTTGATAACACTCGCCCACAGTTGGCCCCAAAGTTCAGCTTGTTATCAACTATTGTGCCAAGGTTCTTATACTCCCCCACCTGTTCAATGCTCTGGTCGACGATGGTAATTGCCTTTGGAGCTGATGCATATGAATCAGCCTATAAGGCACTTTGACTGCTAATATGCCTGCAAGGAGCTTTGCTCATGAAACAGCCTACAAGGCAGCCTATTTCAGTCTATGAGGCTGCTATTGAATCCGGTCAAGCTCTGAGGCTGAAAGCTCATCTGATCAGCCTGTCAGGAATGGAGCTCACCCACTCTGTAAATGTAAATATTATCCACAAAACATGACGTATATCCCCTTATAATTATACACATATCAGTTACATATGCTCACACACACAAAACACACACACACACACTTTCACACACTGCTGCTACTCTGTTTATTATCTATCCTGATTGCCTAGTCACTTTTACCACTACCTACATTTACATATTACCTCAATTACCACGTACCCCTGCACATTGACTTTGTACCGGTACTCCTTGTATATAGCCTCGTTATTGTTATTTTATTGTGTTACTATTTCCTTATTTTTTCTTATTTGCTAATTTATAAAAACATTCTTAATTTTTAACTCTGCCTTGTTGGGAAAGGGCTTGTAAGTAAGCATTTCACGGTAAAGTTGTATATAGATTTGAGTTATGCAAGCTAACAACCAGCATAGATAACTAGCTAGCTATCTAACAAGACTACCTAGCTAACTAGCTAGCTAACTCACAAGACTAGATAGCCAAGTTAGTTTGCATGCGATTGTCTCTGGTCTTGGAGGCGGCACGCAGCCTGGGAGATTGGGCTATCTGTCAGGCATCCTTCAGGGCTTAAATGCCACACGAGCACAAGCCACATACTCAGGCAACAAGAATTATGAGGCACTTCCGGGTCACGTTTTTTTATCCTTCAAAATAAGAGTCATCATATCCTGTAAACTGTGTCAAATGAATAAAGGCAAAGATTATTGGACAATTACCAACACATAATTAATTATAATTAGCTATCAAGTAAGGATTTATTTAAGTGATTTTGAGATATACTCGTTTTGTTTAATTTTAAACCAAAATGGTCAACAAAGTTTTTTGAGTGTCACGTATTGGAGGTTCTCTTTAAAAAGGGTAGTCTAGGGAAAACTAATTATGGACTAGGACAAAATGTGTTCGGTTTAAGATTATGTTGTGCATAGTTTCCAATCGTTTTTGCCTCCATGCTTCAGTCGACACCCTACTGCCAAACCAGCTGAACCCACTCCTCTCCAGACTACCCTCTCCTCTGCCCCTCTGCCACGTCCCCCTCCCTCCCTCCCTCCCTCCCTCCCTCCCTCCCCCCAGCCTGTCCCAGACTACCCTCTCCTCTGCCCCTCTGCCACGTCCCCCTCCCTCCCTCCCTCCCTCTCTCCCCCCAGCCTGTCCCAGACTACCCTCTCCTCTGCCCCTCTGCCACGTCCCCCTCCCTCCCTCCCTCCCTCCCTCTCTCCCCCCAGCCTGTCCCAGACTACCCTCTCCTCTGCCCCTCTGCCACCGTCCGTCCCCCTCCCTCCCTCCCTCTCTCCCCCCAGCCTGTCCCAGGCTGCCCTCTCCCCCCTCCCCCACCCATTGTCATCACAGAGCAAGTAGTCAACAGGCTCTTTAAGAAACAGGACTGTAGGAAAGCTGAAGGCCCAGAGCGGGTCTCCCCAGCCACACTAAAGCACTGCGCTGACCAGCTCTCCCTATATTCACGGACATCTTCAATCAATCACTTGAACTATGCACTGTTCCTGCCTGTTTTAAATCATCCATCATTGTTCCCGTGCCTAAGAAACAGAAAGTATCCTGCCTGAATGACTACAGACCTGTAGCACTCACCTCAGTCATCATGAAGTCCTTCGAGGGCCTCATCCTATCCCACCTCAAAGACATCACTGACGCCCTCCTTGACCCCCTGCATTTCGCTGACAGAGCCAACAGGTCTGTGGACGATGCTGTCAACATGGGCCTCCACTACACCTTTCAGCACCTCGACAACCCAAGGACATACACAAGGATACTGTTTGTGGACTTCAGCTCAGCGTTCAACACCATCATCCCAGAGCTGCTGCAGGACAAACTTACCCAGCTGAACGTATCTGACTCCATCTGTCGGTAGATCACCGACTTCCTGACCAACAGGACACAATACCCGAAGCTGGGGAAACATCTGTCAGACGCTCTGTCCCTCAGCATGGGAGCGCCGCTGGGCTGCGTGCTCTCCCTTCTCCTCTAGTCACTCTGTCTCCAGAGATGCGTCTGTCAAGAAGCAGATGACACCACCCTAGACACCCTTGTCTCCAACGGCGACCATGTACCAGAGAGAGGTTGACCGGATGGTGGTCTGGTGCAGTCACAATAACCTGGAGCTGAACACTGTCAAATCCGTGGAGATGGTGATTGACTTCAGGAAGTGTCCCCTCACCATCTCTCCCCCTTGAAATCAATGGCTCAGCTGTAAGTATGGCTGAGACATTCAAATTCCTGAGGACCATCATCTCCCACAACCTCAAGTGGGAGGACAACGTTACAGCGATCAGCAAGAGGTCTCACCCGCGGATGTACTTCTTATGTCAACTGAAGCAATTCAAACTCTCACGGACAATACTGATTTGGTTCTACACAACCATCATTGAGTCCATCCTCACCTCCTCGATCACTGTCTGGTATGGGAATGCGTCTGCCCGGTCCAAGCGCGAACTGCGAACTGCAATGGATCGTCCGGTCTGCTGAGAGGCTGCCACCTGCCCACCATCGAGGTCCTACACGACTCCAGGGCAAGGAAGTGTAGTGTATTAAGATTATGTCTTTGTTAAATGTTTTTCATGAAGAAATGGAATGTTGTTTATGTTAGTATCAAGAGGGAATGTTTTTAGTGTAACGTCACATATAACAGACAGGAAGTGTGTTGTAGACAGGGGAGACTGGTGATTGGCCAGAAGAGGGAGCATCAGTGTTTATAAATAGGGGGGAAAACGAAGAAGAAAGTCAGAACGAGCAGCCATTCTGAGGCGTCACTCTCCGGGTGTCATGTCACCTGTTACTCATGCTGAAGCTTGTGGTCTGAATAAACCTTATGATCAACGTTCAGTATGAGCAGACTCCTTTTGTTCATCAGCAATAATTGCCACCACTCACTCGATACGACAGAAGTATGCAGGAAAGATAATCGCCGACACCTTCCACCCTTGTCACCCCCTCTTCCAAAGACTCCCCTCTAGCAAACGGTTCAGGTCAATCACGACTAAAACCTCCTGAACAGCTTCTTCCTCATAAACCAGCATCTGAGCTCCTAGTGTGTACGGCTCTCCTTTTCTTTTCCAAGTGTTCTACTCCGCTAGCCAGCACCTCGCCTCAACAGGTGTGCGTTTCTTCCGCCTCCAGGTTAACCTCATCAACCGGCCACCTGGTCCACGGTGATCTTCTCATTAATGGACTACGCATCCTGCACTATCATCCTAGAATGGCACATTCATCTTTGTACTCGCTGCAGATCCTCATATGCACCTGCCTCTCTTCATGTACATATTTCCCCCAACGCATCATCATCCTGTAAAGTCGTGTTTTATTTATACATCATTTATAACGTAGCTTAGTTTTTATAGTGAAGTTTGTAGTTCTTACCTTACAGTGTACAAAGTGTACATACAGCATGTGGATTTGTGTAATCTCTGCTTCTACATATGTTTGTATCCTGTTTACCTTCTGCCCGTGTATTCTGTTTATCGTGGCAGCACCATTTTCACCAAGTCAAATTCCTGTACATGCTAAATGTATTTGGCGAGTAAAGGTCATTCTGATTCCGATCTTCTACAGTTTACAGGACATTACTCTTATTTTGAAGGATTAAAAACCAGTGACACAGAATCGCTTACTCTTGTTTGCATAACACAGCTGGAAAGAAGGATGGCGGATGCTGGAAGTAAAGAGTCAGGGCCGATTGGAGGAGTTGAATTTACCAACACAGAGTTGGAGAATAACAAGAGTAACACGGTAGTAAAGCAATCATTTATAGGTTCTGTCTGTGTTTGGATATTGTATTTTTTGCGAACGAACTCGTGGCCTTTGTCCACGGCAAAGGGCTGGATGGATGCGTACATAAACAGAAAATCCTGGTTTGACCATACAGATGTAGCCGTCGAACATCAGGCAAGCCACGTGATACATTGTAACCACGCGCTGCTGTTGGCTACAATATAATCTTGTTTGTAACAATATTGCACAAAATATGAATGTTTTGAAGATTGAAAGACATATCTAACCTAAATAAAACCAGATCTGAGCTACGTGGCCAGAAGCTACTCGGCACGTTATTGGTCCACTGGCAGCATCCAGAGGATGACGTCACGGTATTATGATACATGGACGTCTATAGACACATATGTGTTTATTACTAGAACATTTCCTAATAGGTCCAATGATTGGCAAAGGATAGGAACATTCTAAATGTATTGATATTCTGTTGTATTCATATTCAGTCCACTAGATCAGGGTTTCCCAAACTGCACGTTTTGGTTTTTGAATCAGCTGGGTTGCGCTAGGGCAAAAACCAAAACGTGCACCCAGGTGGGGCCCCGGGGACCGAGTTTGGGAAACACTGCTCTAGGTCTCTGTTCACTAATCACTGCACATTTCTCCCACGCACTCTGTTTGTAAAGATGGTGGAGGAAGGATCCACACCGCTGCGGAGAATGGAGATCAGTGTGGCCGAGGCAGAGAAAAGAACTGGGAAAAATACAGTGAACATGCAAGAGACATTCACAGTGTACCTCATAGAAACTCGGTGAGAGAGTGGGACCCCTTTAGAAAATGAAGCCAGCATCTGCAAAATATTGCCTTGTTGCTCCCAAAAGAAAACATGTTTTCGGTACAATGACGCTCTTGAGCCTGGATTTTTCTGAATGTGTAATATAAGAGGGATTCAAATCCTGATCTGATCTAGATGTTGGTGTTTCTTCTTTCAGACCCATAGATGCAATAACAGAAGGCCACAACACAGCCTCAGACTCTCTCTGGAGGAGATACAGTGAATTTGAGATTCTCCGGAACTATTTGTTAGTCACCTATCCATTTATCGTGGTGCCGCCTTTGCCAGAGAAGAGGGTAAGTTACATTTAAAGCTGATGGCCATATCTATAGCTAGTAGTCACAAGCACCACACTGCGGTGTTTGTGCCTTAATACCCACAGAATTGAATAGAACACATTATATTATATATTATATTCAATAAATGTTACTATAGATATCTTTGTGTAATAACCCTTGTCTGATTTCTACAGGCAGAGTTTGTTTGGCACAAGCTGTCGGCAGACAACATGGACCCAGACTTTGTAGAGAGGCGCAGGGTTGGTCTGGAGAACTTCCTACATCGCGTGGCCTCCCATTCGGTTCTGTCCAATGACAAAATCCTATACCACTTCCTGACTGAGGTACGATAGCCTATCAGCTCACTCCGTCACGTTGATGTTGTATTGGAATGTTTTGGAGAGATTTAACATTTTTATCTATTTATTTATTCATACTCTACTTTTGAACTTTAATTGACTCTCCTCTCCTCCGCTCCCAGGAACACGGATGGAAGGAGGTGGTGTATGAGACAGGGTTCCAAGCCAAGGTACCTCCGAGGTCTTTATCTTTTACCCCTATATGAGCTTTACTCAGTTACTACCACTTATTACAGGAGTTATGTCCTTGAGCTGTTCTTGTCTATTGATGTTCTGTATTACATCATGTTTTGTGTGGACCCCAGGAAGAGTAGCTGCTGGATGAGCAACAGCTAAAGGGGATCCTAATAAAATAAACAAAAAACGTATTGAATCTATTTTGATCCATCCAGTGGTACATCCAGTGGTAGACACCAATTGTATTCTAATTAAATTGTTTTGTTTTTTCTAGGCAGACTCCAGGATTAAAGCTCTGAGCGCAACTTTCAGGGTGAAGAACCCTGACAAGTCAGTCACTCCTTCCCATTTACAGCCAACAGTTGTCAGACACCTAGTGGTATTATACATGTATTACATACATTTTACTTAAAGTTGAGTTAAGTTAAAGTCGCGTTAAGTTGAAGTTGTGTAAAGTTTAAGTTGTGTAAAGTTGAAATTGTGTAAAGTTGAAGTTTTGTACATTTGAAGTTCTGTAAAGTAGAAATTGTGTTCAGTTGTATAAAGTTAAACTTGTGTAAAGTTGAAGTCGAGTAAAGTTGAAGTTGGGTACATTTGAATTTGTGTACATTTGAAGTTGTGTAAAGTTGAAGTTGTTTGTGTAAAGGTATGTTAAGGTTGCCATTTGTCCTCCTCTATCTAGGCGGTTCACAGAGATGAAACACTACAGCGATGAGCTTCAGTCTCTCACCTCCCAGCTGCTCAGAGTCAGAGCAGTAAGTCATATACCATTTATCAAATGCTTTAGGACCACAGTAAGTCTGCTTCTCTTATTAGTCTAAAGTTATATCTTTGGAACAACATCTTCTTTTATTTGTTATCCATTGAACAACTCCCGTTTCATTCTCCAGAGAGTAGCAGACAGGCTCTACGGCGTATACAAAGTCCATGGGAACTACGGAAGAGTATTCAGGTAAGAACAATAGGTGTCAGGTAGCCTAGCGGTTAAGAGTGTTGGGCCAGCAACCCAGCCGACTAGGTGAAAAATCTGCCGATGTGCCCTTGAGCAAGGGACTTAACCCTAATTGCTCTTGTAAGTCGCTCTGGATAAGAGCGTCTGCTAAATGACAAAACTGTAAAACAATCAAACATGTTGTATCTGAATATTGAAGAAAGACTGATGTGATATTGTTGTGGGATGATCTGACTGTTTGTGTGTCAGTGAGTGGAGTGCCATAGAGAAAGAGATGGGAGACGGTCTACAGAGTGCTGGACACCATATGGATGCGTGAGTACTCTCCATCCACCAACAGCTGTTTTATCTAACCTGTGCTGAGCCTGCTATTATAATGTAGATTGCACACAACAAGCAATTTAGGAACCACAATGGAAATTAGGGACCACAATGGAAATAAGTATACATTTTTTTAACTGGCTAATCAAATCAACCTGCTATTCTAATGCAGAGTGCACACAACAAGTAATTTAGGAACCACAATGGAAATAAGTATATATTTTTAACTGGCTAATAAAATCAATCAATCAAGTTGTCATTTTGTCCACAGCTATGCTGCCTCAGTAGATGATATCTTGGAGGAAGAGGAGCGCTATGCTGACCAACTGAAGGAATACCTTTTCTATGCTGAAGCCTTAAGGTTGGTCCTGTTCCACAATATGGCTAATCAATCAATGAATCAACCAACCAACCAATCATATTTTGTAAAGGGTTTACATATCCCTGTCCCTGTAGTCAAGGAAAGAGCATAATGCACCAAGTAGAACGTTTTTGACAGTTTAAAAAAAACTCGAATCTAAACGGGCCTGGTACAACTGGTGTCCCAGGAAGTAACGCTGTATGGTGTTGTGACATTGGGCCTGCTGTAAAGCTACTGCTCCCTGTTTCTTACAGGGCCGTGTGTAGGAAACACGAGCTGACCCAGTATGAGCTGGAGACGGCCTCCTCAGACCTCATCTCCAAGAAGCAGCAACGGGAGGAGCTGGCCACTGGGGTATTCAGTTCAATACAACTTTATCGATACCCTGAGGGGCAATGAAGAAAGCCATAGGTTTAGGGGAAGGTCTAGTTAATCTACTGTTTGTATCCTGTTCTAGGAAAACTAGGGGATTCCAACTGAGATGGTGATCTCTTGTAAGAGGCAAGCTCTTGTCTTTCCAATATTGGTACAGTGTAGGTCTCAAGAGCATTGGCAAGGCCCAAGAGGTATTGGTTGTCATGTCCTCTCAGAATCTTTGACTACATGTCTTCTTCAAACCCCCCTATATAAGGACATGTAAAGCATGTTCCCATACTGTACCGTAGCCAACTCTTCTATTGCATGCCATACATGTTTGTCATGACAACGAACACACAGAGTCCGAAGCATCAACAATTCCAGTCAATTCAGAAAGTAAACCAAATTCCATTTCCACATTTTCCTCATTGAAAAGCATAGAAGAGAATAGGAATTTCAGTGTACCTCTTGAATTGAAATGGAATTTGACCCAAACCCTGACCACCAGGCTAGTAAAGCCCCTCCATCCTCTGTCTGTCCGTCCATCCTCAGATGGTACGGACGTTCTCCTTCAAAGGAATGAGCAACAAGCTGTTTGGTCAGGAGACTCCAGAGCAGAGAGAGGCTAAGCTCCACCTACTAGAGGAGCAGATCGTCCAGGGAGAGGAGACGGTCAAAGAGAAAACGGTGGAGTGCGAGTGAGTCCCTCATGTTAACCCATGCAGTAATACATACATAGATAGGCCACATGCTGGAAAAAAAACCGAATCGATAAAGTATGTCATATAATCCATGTGCCTCTGATTCAACATTGGTGGTGGTGAGTCGACGAGGACTTAACATAGAGCTCTGTGTGTGTGTGTGTGTGTGTGTGTGTGTGTGTGTGTGTGTGTGTGTGTGTGTGTGTGTGTGTGTGTGTGCGCAGGGAGTACGTGAAGGGTGCGTGGGTGGACATGCAGCGCTTCAAGGAGCAGAAGGACAGGGATCTGAGGGAGGCTCTGATTGGCTACGCCGTCATGCAGATCAGCATGTGTAAGAAGGTGCGTCACACTCAGGAAATGTTCCTAGTATCTATCAGGGTTATGTTCATTAGGCACCAAACAGACAAAAACTGACTCAAAGAGAGAGGGACTACCTGGACTTGTCCAATAAGAAACTGTATTTTTCCTGTTGCTTTAAGTGCCACACTCAGAGTTGTGTTCATTAGGCACCAAACTGAAGAACACAGACTTAAAGAGAGAGGGACTACCTGGACTTGTCCAAGGAGACTTTTGTTTCAAAACGCGTTGCAACGGTGTGCCCTATTGAACACAACCCGCTTGTTAAAATCAAAGGCCAATGTTGTTAGGACCTAGTTCGAATTCTGTGTTTTATGTTCTCCTCTCTGTCTGTATAGGGCATTCAAGTGTGGACCAATGCTAAGGAATGTTTCCACAAGATGTAAGTGGGTCGGGCCGTGGGTCAGCAATGACGTCTATGGTACGAGAGCACAACAACTTCACCTTAAACCTTCAGATGGAAACAGAACCACTGTTGTCATGGCAACCCGCCCCCAACCCCCCCGAGGGCGACAGAGGCAGCTGGCATAGCGTCTCAATACTCAGTCCAATACTGGCTTCTCTCCAGGTAAGGAGAGGAGGCAAGGAAACCTTTCAAGGCCTGATGCAGCCCGCGTCTATATTTTACAATGAGATATACGGCACAAACATATCCTTTTGTATTTATTTATTAAGAGAACGTTTCTGTAGTATCAGCGGGATAAAGGTTGTATGGTGAGAGTGTAGAACATGGGGATGTGTGAAACTTCCTCCTCAGCCTGAAGTGTCGCCACTTGCGCAGCCGAATTGTTAACGTTTTCGATGGCGCCGACTGGTAAGACGCTTCGGAAGGGCAATCACGTGTGCTAGCCCAATCAGAAGAAAGCATTACATTTACATTTACATTTTAGTCATTTAGCAGACGCTCTTATCCAGAGCGACTTACAGTTAGTTTATTTTTCATACTGGCCCCCCTTGGGAATCAAACCCACAACCCTGGCGTTGCAAACGCCATGCTCTACCAACTGAGCTACATCCCTGCCGGCCATTCCCTCCCCTACCCTGGACGACGCTGGGCCAATTGTGCGCCGCCCCATGGGTCTCCCGGTCGCGGCCGGCTACGACAGAGCCTGGATTCGAACCAGGATCTCTAGTGGCACAGCTAGCACTGCGATGAAGCGCCTTAGACCACTGCGCCACTCGCTAAGCAAGCAGCGTGATGTCAGTTATCAGCATGATGCTGTTACCTTGGTTTACCTCTATGAACTGAACTGGAATAGAAACTGAATCAACTGTCAAAGGACTTTGCCTTTTCTCTCTTAAAGCACATGATATCATAATGTCTGGTATGTGAATATTGGAGAATATTGGAGAAGATATTATTCAGAAATTTCAAGGTACATTTATATAAGAATATTATATACTTTGACGTGTCCATCTATGTAAATATATTAACAACAGTGAACACTAACCTGGTGTTTGTTGGTTGAAGCCAAATATTAATTCACTATTTTAAATGGTTTCTTAAAGAAAACATCCTATTTATACATTGTGACTTGCAGTAATAATGTGATTTAAGGTCAGATTTTATCATCATTCATGTACATCAATAATAACATTCTTATCCAAGTTGAACTGAAATAACAGTTATACTGAATTGTATATTCAGCTTTATGGTTTTAATAAAAATATTGTCTTCTACCATATTCCTACAGCTACGGTTCCTCAGGCTACCACACATGTTATGTTGATGGTGGTATGAGGGTATATGGAGACAGTAGGTTGAGGTTGACCCACAATGAGGGTATATGTAGACAGCAGGTTGAGGTTGACCCACTATGAGGGTATATGGAGACAGTAGGTTGAGGTTGACCCACTATGAGGGTATATGGAGACAGCAGGTTGAGGTTGACCCACTATGATGGTATATGGAGACAGTAGGTTGAGGTTGACCCACTATGAGGGTATATGGAGACAGCAGGTTGAGGTTGACCCACTATGAGGGTATATGGAGACAGCAGGTTGAGGTTGACCCACTATGAGGGTATATGTAGACAGCAGGTTGAGGTTGTGTTAAGATAATTTATTAACTAACTATTTCAGTGTGTCTGTGCGTTTCCCAAAGTTTGTAAGACTTTGGTTCAAGAAACGGACAGAGCCTCAGTGCAACAGCCAGGTCTTTATTCAGAGAATTCTGTTATCACAATTTCAGAGTCCATCTTTAATACATACACGTCATATAAAAATCCCACCCCGCTTTAGGCGGGCTGTATTTTTCCACTGTACATGGGTTTAGCTGATGTTTTCCTCTGCTCTCCTGACCATCAGGTCACACACACATATTCTTATCATAGTCTACTCCTTGCTCAGGCAGGCTGCATTTTTTAGTTATCGCCGTTCTCACAATATTCTGACTGCCTCATTGTACTTCTAACTAAGCTACACATATTATCAGATTATAGTCTTATGATTCTAACACTTTTTCACACAGTTTCAGGGTGTAATAATGAGTCATTAATAATTAGTCATTACCAAATTCTTCTATCAGGTTGACCCACTATGAGGGTATATGGAGACAGTAGGTTGAGGTTGACCCACAATGAGGGTATATGGAGACAGTAGGTTGAGGTTGACCCACTATGAGGGTATATGGAGACAGTAGGTTGAGATTGACCCAGTATGAGGGTATATGGAGACAGTAGGTTGAGGTTGACCCACTATGAGGGTATATGGAGACAGTAGGTTGAGGTTGACCCACTATGAGGGTATATGGAGACAGCAGGTTGAGGTTGACCCAGTATGAGGGTATATGGAGACAGTAGGTTGAGGTTGACCCACTATGAGGGTATATGGAGACAGTAGGTTGAGGTTGACCCACTATGAGGGTATATGGAGACAGTAGGTTGAGATTGACCCAGTATGAGGGTATATGGAGACAGTAGGTTGAGGTTGACCCACTATGAGGGTTTATGGAGACAGTAGGTTGAAGTTGACCCACTATGAGGGTATATGGAGACAGCAGGTTGAGGTTGACCCACTATGAGGATATATGGAGACAGCAGGTTGAGATTGACCCACTATGAGGATATATGGAGACAGCAGGTTGAGATTGACCCACTATGAGGGTATATGGAGACAGCAGGTTGAGATTGACCCACTATGAGGATATATGGAGACAGTAGGTTGAGGTTGACCCACTATGAGGGTATTAGGGTATATGTAGACAGCAGGTTGAGGGCTGTGTTATGAAACCAGTTAGCCAGACTACTGAAAAGCCCACACTCGTTTTGTTTAGGGCCCTGGTTGTTCAACTCTTTGTTTAGGGCCCCAGGCTGTTCAACTCTTTGTTTAGGGCCCCGGGCTGTTCAACTCTGGTCCTGGAGGGCCGAAACACTTCTGATTTTCACCCTTTCCTTCGAATCAGAGACTGTTTCAGACCTGGGACACCAGGTGCAGGAGCGGATTGGCCATCTGGCATTTTAGACAAATGCCAGATGGGTTGGTCCGTTTTTTGCCTAGGGCCTGTCTAACTTTTTTTTTTGCACAAAATTATAATTATCTGCATGGCTAATAATGGGGGCTTCAAGGGGGAAAGAAAGCGTGTCGGTGTGGTGGCATCGAGGCAAAGAATTGTGTTACAAATGCCAGGGCCAATTTCTGGTCCCAGTCCGCCCCTAACAAGGTGAGTGTAATTCACTACCAGGTAGAAACAAAAACCAAAAGTGTTTGGGCCCTCCAGGACCAGAGTTGAAGAGGCTTCTAGGGTCTATAGTATATATACAGTATAACCTGATAGTTGAGGCCTCTAGCGTCTACAGTATAACCTGATAGTTGGTGGCTCCCCCATAGGCACCAATGCATTAGCAGCTGGGTCTGGTCTGCTTAGTTCATTGACCGTATGTATATGAACCAGAAAAAGGGAGTGAGTGAGATGCCTTACCTTCTCCAGCTTCTGACCGGCACTGTTGAAATCGTTAACCAAAGAGCCAGACCCTTCCTTTTATCAACTCCAAACAGGAAATTGCCTCAGAGTATCCTTTCTACTGCCATCTGTGGGTGATTGTGTGGTAGTTTTATCTGAATTAAATGCCCTCTAAACTGACATTTAGTTGACAGTTAGTGACAGTTAGTTGAAGATATTACAAGAAAATGAGAAAATTAGGGACGGAAAATAAATAACATTGTATACAATAATATCCATTTATTCTTTAAATATTTAATAAATACTTTGATATAGCTATATTTTAGAATAGATTGAGAACACAGGACAAGACAAAATCATTTGAAATAAATATCTTAAATATATAATTCGCTATATTTCAGGATCACCCAGAGAAAAAAATATGTCAATGGAACAATGATTGAATATGAGGCTAATCTTCACGTGAACAAATGCTGATGTTAAAATATATTTGGAGAAAGAAAATATGAAAATATAATATATGTATCTAGACCACAATGTGTCACTTCCTCTTTCCACCAGAGGAGTCTGGTGGGAGGAGCTATAGGAGGATGGGCTCGTTGTAATGGCTGGAATGGAATGGTTGTTTGAATCTGTTCCATTTATTCCATTCCAGCCATTACAATGAGCCCGTCCTCCTATAGCTCCTCCCACCAGCCTTCACCGCTTTCCACCCCTGGGTGCCCCTGCCTTTGACACACACACACACACACACACACACACACACACACACACACTCTCTCTCTCTCTGAATATCTAAACAGCCCCACCATACAGTACGTGGAAAGGTCTTTGAGGTAAACTTCCTAGTTTATGGAAAGGTTATTCCCAGAGCAATAACACAGATCTAGCTATCCTCCATAACATGTAAAAACTAAACAAACTAGAAATATATTTAATTGCGACGAACATCATCAATTAACACATTTGCCACAGAATGTTACGCACACGTTAGCTATGAGTTGGCGATCATCTAATAAGATAATTTTCTGATTATGTTCAAAGCAATACAGTGTGCTTAACAGTACTCCAAATGGCAATTGACAATGCAATAGATCTAGGGTTGCCAAATTCTGGTAACTTTCCCCAAATTCCTGAAATACTGGTTGGAAGATTCAAAGAATCAGAAAGTAATTAACAAGAAATCCAGAATCCTCCAACCAAGATTTCTGGAAAACCTGCACATTTTGGGAAAGTTACAGACGTTTTGCAATCCTAAATAGAACTCACATCCAAAACAGTTGAGCACTTCAACAGTGCATTACATGGGGGCAAACTGCAGAATGCAGATGACTTTGGAATATATGGCAAGTTGGATGAATAAGCCTCCATGCCAACCTCCCAGAAAGCATCTGCACAAGGACAGCTCAGTAGCAGAGAGAATTGGCACTACACACATGGACACACACTGACAAGACAACACACAGTATAATTGGCTTATATAATACACTTGTGTACCATCACCCCGTGGGTTCTAGCATTAACCATAGTGGTGCTACCATAGAAATAGAACCCCCTCTCTAATGATATGGGCACTATAGATCTGATAACCAGCCTCCTCTGTAGGACATACTAGCAGTACATTTAGATCACACACAGAAGCAGACACAAGTATGAGACCAACTCACAGTGGAATAGTCATATGTGCATTTTGGCACCTATTCATATCACTACTAACGCCTCTGCACTGATGCCGTCAAACAGGAGGAAATGGTAGAAGATAGAAGATATTCAGGAAAAGCCCAGTTCTTCCTTTCACATAGAACTGAGTGTACAAAACATTAGGAACACCTGCTCTTTCCATGACATAGACTGACCAGGTGAATCCAGATTAATGTAACTTGTTAAATCCACTTCAATCATTGTAGATGAAGGGGGGGTGTCAGGTTAAATAAGTATTTTTAAGCCTTGAAACAATTGAGACATGGATTGTGTATGTGTGCAATTCAGTGGATGAATGGGCTAGACACAAATATTTAAGTTCCTTTCAACGGGATATGGTAGTAGGTGCCAGGCACACCGTTTGTGTCAAGAACTGAAATGCTGCTGGGTTTTTCACGCTCAACAGTTTCCCATGGTTATCAAGAATGGCCCACCACCCAAAGGACATCCAGCCAACTTGGCAACTGTGGGAAGCATTGGAGTCAACAGGTGCCAGCATCCCTGTGGAATGCTTTCAACACCTTGTAGAGTCCATGCCCCAACGAATTGAAGCTGTTCTGAGGGCAAAAGAGGGTGCAACTCAATATTAGGAAGGTGTTCCTAATGTTTTGTACACAGTATAGTTCATAACTACATAATATGTTCACTGATCTGGTGCAGAACAAACATTGACCAGAAGATAGTAGATTGCAGCACGCCCATCTCAGGTTCGGACTGTACCAAGCCCCATAGCACATAAGGGGAGCTCAGTCAGGGAATAGACCATTATAAAGGAGCTAGAGGGGTCCTCCCAGTTCTCTAGTTTAAGGCATAAGTTGAACAAGGAGGTATCCTAACTGCTAGAACTCAGAATCAGGGATCTTGTTGCCACAATGTTTTCAGTACTAGAAATATTCTTCAAGACATTGAAAATACAACAACAAAAACCAGCATTTTCAACATTACTGCCCATAACCAGTTACCTATTCTTTATGCATGATACTTTCAGTACAACAGAAGGTCATTATTACTTTGGAGGCTATTCAAAATGAAAAATCTATTTGGTTACACATAAAACAACATCCATCCACTGGGCAAAAACTGGTTGAATCAATGTTGTTTCTGTGTCATTTCAACCAAAAAAATCAATGCGATGACGTTGAATCAACGTAAGGGCATTTTCGCCTTTTTTTTTACCCAACTTTTAACCGTTGAACTGACGTCTGTGCCCAGTGAGCAGTTAGTTGTGGTATGGTATTGTAGTTTCACATTCATCATACTAAACAAGACCATTTCCCTCGAGGGTGCGAAACCTAACTTTTACAAAATGTCCACTTAGTCTCCCATTGACATCAATAAACGACTAAGGGCTGGACTCAATCCATATCGCCGAAGTTCCGCGTTGTAGCCCGTTTGACATTTAAAGGCAACGTTCTCGCATTAGCGGAGACTGTATTCACGGCAAACGCTGCATAGGGCCTCCTGTAGCTCAGTTGGTAGAGCATGGCGCTTGCAAAGCCAGGGTTGTGGGTTCGATTCCCACGGGGGGCCAGTATGAAAAATGTATGCACTCACTAACTGTAAGTAGCTCTGGATAAGAGCGTCTTCTAAATGACTAAAATGTAAAATATGTCGGCTCAAATTACCTTGAAATTTCAAGCGCGCTACAGTGCTGAACCTCAGCTATACGGATTGAATCCAGCCCCTCATTTTACTTCAGTGGATGTTAGGATTGGCTTCCAAGTATGACCTGCCCCACCTACAGAGCTTTGGACTCTTTTCATCTGACAGACACAACCTCCATAAATATCCTCTTTTCATCTAACAGACACAACCTCCATTAAAATCCTATTTTCATCTAACAGACACAACCTCCATAAATATCCTCTTTTCATCTGACAGACACAACCTCCATAAAGATCCTCTTTTCATCTGACAGACACAACCTCCATAAAGATCCTCTTTTCATCTAACAGACACAACCTCCATTAAAATCCTATTTTCATCTGACAGACACAACCTCCATAAATATCCTATTTTCATCTAACAGACACAACCTCCATAAATAACCATTTTCATCTAACAGACACAACCTCCATTAAAATCCTATTTTCATCCGACAGACACAACCTCCATAAAGATCCTCTTTTCATTTAACAGACACAACCTCCATAAAGAACCTATTTTCATCTAACAGACACAACCTCCATAAATATCCTATTTTCATTTAACAGACACAACCTCCATAGGAAAAGTACAACCACCCAGTGTCGATGGTCAATAAATCAAACCTAGAAACCCCAAGGATACATAAGAGGATAAATATTTTATAAATATTAAATATAAATAAATATGTAATCAATCTATCCATCTATTCATAAATAAACTTTCCAATATATTATCATAATGACAAACATAATATGCCTCTGCAACACTTTGACTTTGTGCAATCACATATACATTAAATCTTTCTTTAAAATTGTCTTCAGGATTAAATATCATAATTTCACAATATTATATAATATCATAGCTAATATACATTTAATTTCTCTATTCAACAGTTTACCCTTCAGTAGCTTCACTGTAAACAGTTCTTGGGAGGTGACAATGTCAACCTATAGGTAGACGGATGTCTGTTTGTAGCAGCCAATGGCTGGAAACATCACCCTTCACTTGTCTGTAGACCACAACCAATAGAATGTGATCTACCTAGCAATAGAAACAGTCCCACTTGATCACCTGTTGGACACCATTGTTTAATTTACCCTGACGTGTGAAGGCATGTAGATTCTCCATTTGATATGAGTACTTTGGTATGAGATGAGTTAAAATGTCAGAGGTGAGGATGTACTGGCACTGGTACTGTAGACGTAGTGAAGTATGAATTTCATCTTGGTACTCTAACAGGACAGAATAGAGCAGAGAGGGGGAGGGGCAAGAGGAGAACACTAACAGGGATTGGTCCTCGGCCCTGTTCTAATACTCTGAAGATGCACCTTTCCTCCCTTCTTTTCTCAAGGTAATCACTAATCTAACGTGATTGGATAGGTGAGAGCAAGGATTCTACTCCACTGATTTCACCAATAATTTTATGTCATAATGAGCTCCATTAGCTTGAAGGACAGGATACAGAGTTATCAGGCAGCTGTCTAACGACAGACTCCAAAGATATAGACGGGGACTGACACAGAGAAGCTACCCTGCCAGGGTCATAACTAGAGCCAGGAGTTTTCCCCAGCAGGACCATGTGATCTAACCTAAAGGGTCAAAACTCCGGGCCCTAGTTATAGCCTACGTCTGTAGTTTAGAGCCTTGTAACTAGGGTCAGGGCTTTTTCCTAGTGCAGTCACGACAAGGTCAGTCAGGGAAAAAACTCCTGGCCCTAGTTATAACGTTACGTTCCGAGTTACGTTACTGAAATGTTAACGAAACATTACTGAAACGTTACTGGAACATTGCTGAAACGTTACAGGGACACTTCTCAGACGTGGGACTCATCCAGGTCCAGGTCGACGGGGGAGAGGGGGAGGGGGAGAGGGGAGTGGCGGGGGGGCCCGGACGGGCGAGCGGCGGGGGGGCAGGGCGGGCGAGCGGCGGGGGGAGAGCAGGGGGGCGAGCAGGGGGTTCTCTGTGCCCCCATTGTCCTCTGAAATGTGGAGGAGGGTGTCTGTGTATCTCCCCAGCAGGGCAGTCGTGTCCTCGTCCTCTGGGCTCTCCGGGGTCTGATGGGAGGACGGACCTGGATGGGAGAGGTGGGCGGGGGGAGCGGGGGGTTGGATCCCCAGGATCGGCAGAGGGGGGAGGGGAGAACAGGTGCGAGAGATGGGGAGAGGCGGTGGAGGGAGAGGAGAGCAGGAGGAGGGTGGGGTGGGGGTGGAGGCGCGGGAGATGGAGGGCCGAGGAGAGAGGCTGCTGCGGAGGCCCCACTGCTCTTGTTTCTCCTTGCTCTCCATCGATAACTACAACCAGGAAACAAGAAGAGTGACATTTCAAATCAAACTTTATTTGTCACAGGCGCCGAACACAACAGGTGTAGACCTTACCGTGAAATGCTTACTTACAAGCCCTTAACCAACAACGCAGTTCAAGAAATAGAGTTAAGAAAAATATTTAAAAGGCATTATGAAATGTGATATTCCTTATCTCCAGTAACAAGAACCTTATCGTGATGACACGTTACAACACGATTTCCTGATTTCACAGACTGACCACTTAGAAGTTAAATCATGGTGAAAATAGGTATTTTACCCACTTATAGAACACCACATTGAGAGGAGTTTCATGAGTTTCATTTCTGGAGTGGATTTTCCCTTTAATTTATATATCGTAGGAACGTACAAAATGCAAGCTACACAAAAGGACCATTCTGCGTACCTTCTTACCAAATCGACATGACACAAACTACAGAGAGAGAATTGACAATGTCATAAAATATCCCCCATTCGTACCTGTTTCTTGGCAGGGCTGTGGAGGTCAGCTTTGATGATGGCAGAGGAGGAGGCACCAGGGGCAGCAGGGGGAGCGAGTGGAGGGGCCGGGCTGGCCTTCCTGCCCTCTGGGTGGGCATCGGCGCCACCGGGGGTGGGGCTCTTCGCCTGAGCCTGCTGGCTCTCTGTGAAGGTGACCACCCTTTTCTGGTCCCACCCATGGGTTGCTGAGGAGACATCATCACAGTTATCACACTCATAGTTCATCACAGCACCACCTTGTGGACTAGCGGACACATTACCACAACCACTACCAGGGGTGAGGGAGAGGAGTGGAAGGGGCGGGAGCGTGGGGGGGATGCAAGACAGACATGCAGAGCAACGTATCAGGTGAGAGGTTTCAGAGAGATGGCGTCATTACGTTGCAAGAGGAGAGGGAGGAAGTATAGGTGTCTCACCTTCGCAGTCCAATAAAGTTTCTTTATTCGAATCGAAACAAAGGCATAAACAGAACACAGAATGAACAGAGTCAGTTATTGGGGTCGGAAGTGACAGGGGATTAAGACACATTGGAACAGAGACAACGGTTGTGAATGAGGAGGATCGGTACATGTCAGATCAAGTCAACACACAGAGTGGGAGGAATCAGATTGTCAGAGATACGTTCATGAGAAAATATTTAGTATTAATAGTTAATATCACAAGGTCTACATTTGAACTGAAGTGTGCTTGATCTGAAGTGTAGGGCAAGTTTGCTGTAGTTACAGAATCTCTCTCACACACACACACAACACACACAACAGACACAACAGACACACACTCATGTGCACACAGTTACCCAGAGGTTTGTTCTTGGGCTGGATGCTCCTGCGGGTGGTGGAGAGCCGGGCTCCAGAGCGACCTGGCCCTCGCAGCTCACTCTTTGGAAGGGACAGCAGGGGGCGTCGCAACTGCATTGAAATATCAATCAATCAACCAATCAATCAACCAATCCACAAATAATGTCCACTGTGAATGTCAATGTGGATAGCCTCTTCATCATTATCCACAACTAGGGACAGAGTTTTCCCTGATCATGTGACAAGACCAGGGCTGCGTTCAGTACGAAAAAACGTAGTGGAACGTTCAATGAAATGGAAACGGTGCTGTACTGAGCGACCTGTTGAAAAACCGGGGAGGGGTTGGATTGTGTGTTCAAAAAACCGGGGAGGGGTTGGATTGTGTGTTCAAAATGCACTGCTTCCCTTTAAATACGTCATTCATTGCTTCAAGCCACACCCACCAAATGGAGCAAACTGACCTCAAAGTCGGTTCAAGAACATTTTGGGGAATGGTGCCATTCAGTACAAACCGTACCTCAACTTAGCAAACGTTCAATCAAACTGAATGCACCCCAGTATAAACCAGGGTAAATTGAAGTCAGTCAATTCAGGAAGTAAACTGAAATTCCAATTCAATAATTGTGAATAATGCATTTGAAAAACAAAATATTTTCTCAATAAACTGAAAAGGAGCATTTATAGTTCCACTTTGAAGACCACTCTCACCTGTCTTAGTCCTCTTTTGCGTCCCAGCGGAGGTTGGTTTAAGAGGTTCTGCTGGCCTGGTTCACTCTGCACACTGGCCACCCTACACCACCCAACCAGACAGACAGACAGACAGACAGAAACACAGAGACAGACAGAACCACAGAGACAGACAGACAGACATGCAGAGACAGACAGAGAAAGACAGACACAGAGACAGAGACAGACACAGAGACAGACACAAAGACAGACAGGCAAAGACAGGAAAAGAGACAGACAGGCAAAGACACAGACAGACAGAACCAGTCAGTACAACACACACGTGGTGTTTCTCCTAATGAACTCTCTCTCTTTCACTGAGACACACAGGAGAGTCAAGAGGAGGTGTGTCTGTCCACTGCTCCTCACATTCTTCCCATCTCTCCCCACTAACCCAATCACGCCACTGCACACGACACCGACACACCCACCAATCAAGGACACCCAATCACAGCGCAAGAATACACCAAAACACAAAGGGGGTTATGGGGTCTGGAGTGATCTGTGTTCTTATGTAGACAGCTTGTACCATATTCCCAGTGCACAGAACTAGAACATGAACCTATCTGGTAATGTCTAACTTCTTGATAAGATAAATGTAATCATTTCATTGATCGATTGCCACTCCAGTACCCCATGCCCCACAGATTGGTATCCTGGAGAGGACGTCCAATTTGAACACTGAAAAGCCTGAAACAGTATGAAGACCATGATGGCACCGATGGACTGAGCTGGCTGAGACACAGTACATTACCCACCCGCTCCCCAGCGTCCTCACACCGCCCAGGGATTTAAAGGGTTAAAGAGGCAACAGTGGATGGCTTGAGATGGGTGGTGTCAGTGTGGTAGCTTCGAGGGGGAACAAGAGACTACGTTCAATTCTACCTACACAAGGAGGAAGGGTGATGGACCAACGGCGGTTTTGATTGGATGAGATAATGAGTGAGGAAAACGAAGTAGTCAGAGGAGGCCGTCCGATTGGCCGAGCCCCCCCCAAACTGCACATAGAGAGACGCAACACACAGGGGGGCTGTGACGTGACACTGTACCTAGACAGGTTACCCTCTTCCAGTCCTTGAGACTCATCTAGCACATTGGGTTCACTGCAGAGGAGGGGGCAGGAAGGAGAGAAGGGGTTTAGGGAGAGAGGAGAGCATGCTGCCTCATGTCCAAGGCTTCTCCTCTGAAGGGTCTCCTATGGTACAGTAGCTGGACCAACTTTCCATTGATCTAGGGCCCTGTTTGAATACTCTAAATATGCACCCTTCCTCCCTCCCATACTTACTTACTTAAAGAAATCCTTGGCAGGAAGGGTGTGTTTTTAAAGTATTCAGAGACAATCTCTCTGCTAAAACGACTATGCCTGGTAGCAGGCCTGACTTCTTAGCTATTCATCCAGCATACTGTTCTCCAGAAAAGGTTACACAAATAAACACAAATAAACAGCTTTAAAACAACAGAAATAGTATGACTGTGATTGTGTCTTCTGAAGTGACGGTGTGTTACATGTACTGACCGTGCTGACGTGTGGACAGTCATAGTACAATCCAGTGTCGAGGAGTGAGGTGATGTGTGGACAATCATAGTACAATCCAGTGTCGAGGAGTGAGGTGATGTGTGGACAATCATAGTACAATCCAGTGTCGAGGAGTGAGGTGATGTGTGGACAGTCATAGTACAATCCAGTGTCGAGGAGTGAGGTGATGTGTGAGCGCGTGTGCTCATGTGAGGTGTGCGGGTGTGCACGTGCATATGTGTTGTGTGTGTAGGGAGAGGTGTGTGTGTGTAGGGGTGTGTGGTTGTAGGGGTGTGTGTCTAGGGGTGTGTGTGTATGGGTGTGTGTGTGTATGGGTGTGTGTAGGGGTGTGTGTCTAGGGGTGGACGTGTTTAACTATACTTGTGGGGACTAGAATGCTATTTTTAGGGGGTTTGGGGTTAAGGTTAGAATTAGTGTTAGGGTTAGAATTAGGTTTAGGGTTAGGCTTAGGAGCTAGGGTTAGTTTTAGGGTTAGGGTTAGGAGCTAGGGTTAGTTTTAGGGTTAGGGTTAGGAGCTAGGGCTAGGGTTAGGGTTAGGAGCTAGGTTTAGGGTTACGTTTTCAGGTTAAGGTTAGGGTAAGTGTAAGGGTTAGGGTTAGGGGTTAGGGAAAATAGTATTTTGAATGGGACTGAATTGTGTGTCCCCACAAGGTTAGTTGTACAAGACTGTGAGTGTGTGTGTGTGTGTGTGTGTGTGTGTGTAGGGGTGTGTGTGTGTGTTACCTGTGGCTGGGCAGCATGGTGCTGCGGGTGCTTGGTTCAGGCTGGGCGCTGCCCGTGGCGTGACTGGAGAAGCGTCGCTGCGTGATGAGCCTGGGTAGGAAGACCTCGTGTTCACTCACCACACTGGGAATACTGATAGAGTCATCTAGAGGAGAGAGAGAGAGAGAGAGAGAGAGAGAGAGAGAGAGAGAGAGAGTAGAGAGAGAGAGGGAGAGAGAGAGAGCTAGAGAGAGAGATAGAATCGACTACGATCGCGCTAACGATATCGCGTCAGGAGGTAGTCTTCTCTCTGCCCGCTCTCGATCTCTCTCCACGACTCTCTCCGCTCGGGATAGAGAGATAGTATGAACGGCGTAGAGCGAGAGAGGGAGAGAGAGGAAAGGGGGCGATCAAAATGCCGGTGCAGGTTGGGGGGAGTGGGGGGTGAAAATGACATGCAGGCAAACCCAAACATGCAACAACCAGACCATTCAGATAGTGAAAGAGGGGGTGAAAGAGAGAAAGAGAGGGAGGGAGAGAGAAAAACAAAACCAATATGAAAGGGGAGATATAATTCATTAAAGGCCCAGTGCAGACAAAAACCCAGACTTTTCTGTGTTTTATATACATTGAACTAAAATATAAACTCAACATGGAAAGTGTTGGTCCCTAAAATAAAGGATCACAGAAATATTCCATACACACAAAAAGCTTATTTCTCTCCATTTTTGTAAAAGAGTGATAGTAATAGATAGGAGGAGTATCTGACTCAGTGATAGAGTGATAGTAGTAGTAGATAGGAGGAGTGTCTGACTCAGTGATAGAGTGATAGTAGTAGTAATAGATAGGAGGAGTGTCTGACTCAGTGATAGAGTGATAGTAGTAGTAGATAGGAGGAGTGTCTGACTCAGTGATAGAGTGATAGTAGTAGTAATAGATAGGAGGAGTGTCTGACTCAGTGATAGAGTGATAGTAGTAGTAATAGATAGGAGGAGTGTCTGACTCAGTGATAGAGTGATAGTAGTAGTAATAGATAGGAGGAGTGTCTGACTCAGTGATAGAGTGATAGTAGTAGTAGATAGGAGGAGTGTCTGACTCAGTGATAGAGTGATAGTAGTAGTAATAGATAGGAGGAGTGTCTGACTCAGTGATAGAGTGATAGTAGTAGTAGATAGGAGGAGTGTCTGACTCAGTGATAGAGTGATAGTAGTAGTAATAGATAGGAGGAGTGTCTGACTCAGTGATAGAGTGATAGTAGTAGTAATAGATAGGAGGAGTGTCTGACTCAGTGATAGAGTGATAGTAGTAGTAGATAGGAGGAGTGTCTGACTCAGTGATAGAGTGATAGTAGTAATAGATAGGAGGAGTGTCTGACTCAGTGATAGAGTGATAGTAGTAGTAGATAGGAGGAGTGTCTGACTCAGTGATAGAGTGATAGTAGTAGTAGATAGGAGGAGTGTCTGACTCAGTGATAGAGTGATAGTATTAGTAATAGATAGGAGGAGTGTCTGACTCAGTGATAGAGTGATAGTAGTAGTAGATAGGAGGAGTGTCTGACTCAGTGATAGAGTGATAGTAGTAGTAATAGATAGGAGGAGTGTCTGACTCAGTGATAGAGTGATAGTAGTAGTAGATAGGAGGAGTGTCTGACTCAGTGATAGAGTGATAGTAGTAGTAATAGATAGGAGGAGTGTCTGACTCAGTGATAGAGTGATAGTAGTAGTAATAGATAGGAGGAGTGTCTGACTCAGTGATAGAGTGATAGTAGTAGTAGATAGGAGGAGTGTCTGACTCAGTGATAGAGTGATAGTAGTAATAGATAGGAGGAGTGTCTGACTCAGTGATAGAGTGATAGTAGTAGTAGATAGGAGGAGTGTCTGACTCAGTGATAGAGTGATAGTAGTAATAGATAGGAGGAGTGTCTGACTCAGTGATAGAGTGATAGTAGTAGTAGATAGGAGGAGTGTCTGACTCAGTGATAGAGTGATAGTAGTAGTAGATAGGAGGAGTGTCTGACTCAGTGATAGAGTGATAGTAGTAATAGATAGGAGGAGTGTCTGACTCAGTGATAGAGTGATAGTAGTAGTAATAGATAGGAGGAGTGTCTGACTCAGTGATAGAGTGATAGTATTAGTAATAGATAGGAGGAGTGTCTGACTCTCTTCCTGCTCCTGTTCGTCATCCTCGTCGGTGCGGCTCAGCGTGTCCTGGGAGGGCTGGCGGGACGGCTGGCTCTCCTGCTCCCACACCGTGCCCGTGCCCGTGTTGGACCGGGACATGGTGGCCAGAGACAGGCGGTAGGCAGAGGTGGACGTGCCCACTGTACTGATGGATGTCTTGCCCTGGTATGCTGTGGAACAGACACATAGGTCAACCTTAACCAATCTCTTATCATAACCTATCCATTAATAATGAAAGGTTAACATGGCATTTGTTTACTAGTTGGCTATGTGTCTAATGTGTAGTGTACTAACGGGTAGTGTACTAAATGAGTAGTGCACTAAAAAGTAGTATACTAACGGCTAGTCTACTAATAGCCAGTGTACTAATCAGTAGGTCACCAACCAGAGCCACTGTGCACGGCCTCCTTGAGGATCTTCAGCTCGTTGTTGAACTCTGCGAACAGGGAGCTCTTGCAGAGGGGGCGGGGGATGAAGCGGCGCTCCAGCTGGTCAGCGATGTGGTGGCGGGCCGTGATCTCCTCCTGGGAGTCAGCTGGCTGGGTCAGGAGCTGGGAGGGGTTAAGAAGAAGACGGGAGAGAGAGAGAGAGAGAGAGAGAGAGAGAGAGAGAGAGAGAGAGAGAGAGAGAGCTGAATAAAGGATTCTGTGATTCTAGCCCTAGAAAGAACATAGAAGAAGAGGTATATAGAGGGGAACACTTTGCAGGGCTCTTACAGAGGCACAGTGTAGTAGAATGGAGGATACAGTATAATACTATACAAGGTAGTAGAATGGAGGATACAGTATAATACTATACAAGGTAGTAGAATAGAGGATACAGTATAATACTATACAGAATGGAGAATACAGTATAATACTACACAGAATGGAGGATACAGTATAATACTATACAGAATGGAGGATACAGTATAATACTATACAAGGTAGTAGAATGGAGGATACAGTATAAAACTATACAGAATGGAGGATACAGTATAATACTATACAGAATGGAGGATACAGTATAATACTATACAAGGTAGTAGAATGGAGGATACAGTATAATACTATGCAGAATGGAGGATACAGTATAATACTATACAAGGTAGTAGAATGGAGGATACATTATAATACTATACAGAATGGAGGATACAGTATAATACTATACAGAATGGAGGATACAGTATAATACTATACAGAATGGAGGATACAGTATAATACTATACAGAATGGAGGATACAGTATAATACTATACAGAATGGAGGATACAGTATAATACTATACAGAATGGAGGATACAGTATAATACTATACAGAATGGAGGATACAGTATAATACTATCCAGAATGGAGGATACAGTATAATACTATACAGGGTAGTAGAATGGAGGATACAGTATAATACTATACAGGGTAGTAGAATGGAGGATACAGTATACAACTATACAGAATGGAGGATACAGTATAATACTATACAGGGTAGTAGAATGGAGGATACAGTATAATACTATACAGAATGGAGGATAGAGTATAATACTATACAGAATGGAGGATACAGTATAATACTATACAGAATGGAGGATACAGTATAATACTATACAGGGTAGTAGAATGGAGGATACAGTATAATACTATACAGGGTAGTAGAATGGAGGATACAGTATACAACTATACAGAATGGAGGATACAGTATAATACTATACAGGGTAGTAGAATGGAGGATACAGTATAATACTATACAGAATGGAGGATAGAGTATAATACTATACAGAATGGAGGATACAGTATAATACTATACAGAATGGAGGATACAGTATAATACTATACAGGGTAGTAGAATGGAGGATACAGTATAATACTATACAGGGTAGTAGAATGGAGGATACAGTATACAACTATACAGAATGGAGGATACAGTATAATACTATACAGGGTAGTAGAATGGAGGATACAGTATAA